AATTTTATAAAGACATTATCAAAAAAAAATGTTACTGACAATTTTTTTATCCAGTTTCATTGTGATGACGTTTTTGAAGAGTTGAAGCTTAAAAAATCCATTGAAAATTGTTGTACAAATTCGGAAATAGATTAATTTGAACACAAATCAACTATGTAATAATGGAGGCTTAATACTAATTTATTAATGATTTATCATTTACCAAGTTATGATTGAAACATATCCCATTTGAACTCTGTGGCTTACAATTCCGTTCATAAATCATTTTTAACTTCCTGATATCAAGAGCTATAATAACTATCAAAATAATGTGTATCTCGGACAAAAAGATTTGAAATAATGATAAATAAAAAACGCCTAAAATCTTCCGGGTAACCATGAAATTTTAATACTACCTGCTTGTGAATGAAGTTGTACAATCTCTCGTTTATAAACACATGTCATAACTATATTTTAATAGTGTTTTTTTTCATCTTATTGGTTTTGTTTAATTACAATATAAACAAATTTCCATAATTAGTAGTATTTTGCGAGTAAAAGGGATTGATTGAGAAAAATGCCAAAGATTTATCTTTCGACTAAACAAAAAATGAATTATGAAGTAATAAAATAAACATATAAATTTTGTATATTGTATAATCGTTTAAAAAATAAATATTTGATCAACTGTTTAAATATTTAATCAAGTCTTATAATGACTTGAAGTCGTAAAGAATTTCAACAGATATTAATAAACGATATTTTTCAAGGGGTGCAGTTTTTAAAAAATGAATGACTTTATTATGCTTGTGTATTATGGGATAAAAATTATTTTTAGATTAATTAGTTATAAATATCAATATATATATATATATATATATATATATATATATATATATATATATATATATATAATAAAAATGTTTTTTTTCGAATAACGTTGATAAACTATTTTTATATTTAATTTAGGAATAATTCCCAAAATAATAGTCAAATTAAATTTGATGTCTATAAATTAAAGTTCAAGGGGTATCCTTTACGTTTAATTACGTTGTTGTATAATAAAGCTAAATTATATTTAAACCTCTGTAATAATATTTTTAGACTGCCTCAATTTGATTTATTCATCTTTGGAAATCTGCAACAACAACGAATGGTTTCCAAAGTTTGTCGATTATTTTCATGATTTCGGCTATGAGTGACTTGTAACTTATCTGACATAAAATCAAATTATTTCGAATAAATAAATACAATGTTTTCCATGACATATTGGTTTTTAAAACATTGGCATTTCGCGCTTGGATGAAATTATTAAAAGTATACTTTCTCCATAGTAGTCTAACAATCAAATGGAATGAACTTGATTTTGTTTTTCATCTGGAAATATACCAAAATTTATTTTTGCATTAATGTAATATAAAATATTTATCATACAATCTTTTACATTTTGAGTTATTTTTAAATCTAAAATATTTTTTTTTACAAAATCATCATACATTGTGCGTCACAGGTGAGTCTTGGTGCATGATCCTATACCTGTGTGCCCCCCCCACGCCCCTTTCACTTGTATTTTGAAGTAAAAAGATTTATGCTGGCTTAAATAATACGTGTTAAATAGAGTGTCCGGCTTTAGGTGCCGTCCGGCGTTACGATAATAACAGAACAATGTTCACATGGGTACAAAATATATCAAAGAAAAAAACATTGTTTTACCAAATATCCCGGAAAAAGCACTATTTTTTATAAAACACATATGACTGATATGGTTCTATATTATAGCTTTTTTTCTGACATCCTAAAATTGTAAATGCAATCAAATGAATGATTTCACTTGCAAAATTTGGTAAGATAGATTTCTATTTATTGAGTTTTGGCTGTACTTAAGATTTAATTAAAATTGGATATTCTTTATAGTATAAATGTATACTGCATCATATAAATGTTTAGTTGATATATTAAAGGATCAGATGTTATAATTTGTGGAAATATTATTATTACTATTATGAACAGCAGTCAGAAATATTCCTAGAATTCTATGAACTGTTGTAATGTAATGCAATCCAATTATTATTAGAGTGTTATGTATGTGGACAAAATTCTTAGCTACTTGTGGCACTTTGCAATTCTATGGATCATTTTGAAAAATTCTGCCGAACTTTTCAATCAAGTTTTTTTACTTACACGGTATTACTTCACACGGTTGTTAGTCGAAACGGGGCTCCTTAATTATTATAAGCCTACGATGAATAAAAATAGAACAATTATGCAAATACTGATTATGAATTCAATTATTTATAGTTCATTTATTAATGTAGTTCAAATACGGTTTCTATTACAAAGTTGAAAACTTTTATTTACTTTTGCCGCAGCAATATAATAAATAACCGCCGCCGCATAATGTTTTATTCATTTTTTTGATTATGAAATTTTTCGGTTAGCATTATGCGGCCAATACCACGATCAATTCGAATTCGGTGTATGTATTCAGTTCAAGGCTATCGAACATATTATATTAGATTTATTAGGAACACTAACCTTTGTAATTAATTAAAGAAATTATTAAGCCGAAGACCTATTGAAAGGATCTGTGGTTGCTTTCACATATGAATTGATACAGACAAAGCTAGTTATTTTATTCATTTTTTATGTCTTGTAATCGTATGTTTGAGTGTTTGTGATCAATGTTTTAACTCTTAAGAACTTTTCTGAGAGATATTTGACATTAAAGTGAGATCATGAACCGCCTTGAAACAATACGACTTTAACTCCATCAGACTCTCAGCTTTCTCTTGGCGAGACCGACTTTGCTTATTTGTCAGGTACGAAATATAAATACGAATGGTTATTTAAAAAATAATTGTTATAGAAATATTTCCATTAATAACTCATACAAAAACAGGAGTTCTGCAAATAATTCATTTTTAAGTTTTTTATAAAAATGATTCTTTTGGTGAAATGGTATAAACTAACATCATGTGTTTACCTTCCTTCAAAATATAAATGAATATTTTTTAAATATATTATTCTAGACACCATAATTTAATATTAAGTTATTTTAAATCATTTTAATTTTTTTTGGCTGATAAAAATATCATAGGGATCTTAAAGTCCATTGAAAACAAGTTATACAAGTGAACAAGATTATTGTGAATACAAAATTTTGTCAAACTATCAAAAATCGATATCTATCTGTATTATCCTTGTTGAAGTCAAGTAAAAATGCTTTCGCAATTCTACTTTTAATTTCATAATAAAATGATTTTATAGTAGGTAATTTAATGGAGTACTTCAAATAAATAAGATTTTATTCCATTCTTTGGTACTCTATCCATTTATAAATTATCATTTTAGTCCATTCTCTGACAATGGTTAGAAGACTTTAATTTTTTTTCCCTTACAGACTTATATATTTTATATATTTATATGTTGTTTATTTCAGGACAGGTATAAAAATTTCTGAATAATAAAAAAAAATAGTTCAGCAATAAGATAGGTATATAGATTCAATCAATTAGATACTCCATTACATCTCCAAATTACACTTACCAAATTTAGCGTTTAGTAATTATCCTATTTTTAATAAAATTTTATAAAAGATCGATAATTGCATATAGTTAGAGAGAAAATTTGAAAGTTTGTAGCAATAATATTAATAAACATTTTCACGACATTAAATTCTCTATATAGTGTTAATACATAACATTGACCCAAATAACTCAATACAAGTATAATATGGTAAACATTTATTAATGCAACAATTGTATCGATTTACATGATTTTACTACAAAAAATATCCGACTATATGTAAATAATTGATATGTAGTTAACATAAATATTAATTGTTCATAAATATAAAATTGAAATATGTTATATCTAGACAGCAAATCAACATGAAATAATTTTTGACATGTTTTTGGGCACAACATTATCAGGACAAAATTGAAAATGTTGTGCCCAACATTTCAAAGTCAATTTTTGAAATCTCTGACAATGGTCTTTTATTTAAATGTCTTTATTTTATTTGTACAGATTTAATTATTTGTCCATTTCAGGACAAGTGTAAAATTTTCCAAATAATGAACAAAAAGTTTTGGGCAATTACTAGAAATATTAATCTTGAGACGTCTCTGTAACTGATTTTTATTAGGCGCGGATTTTACTTTCTTTGCTTGCATCATCGCTTTCATATTTCTGTGTCAATTTGTTTAATAAAATAACGAATTTATACTAATTTCTTTATTGGAAGATAAACTCTTTATAAAATAAAAATAATAACCTCATGAACCTGTGATCAATCTATTTTTATCATCATGGGTAATGTGTAGAACATTCACTGATTCTGAGTAAATGCAGATTTTTCTTTTATTTTTATATCGACATATCTTAAATTGCAACTGCTATATTCATTAACTTCCCGATAATGAAAAGTTTTGCTTAAGAGGTTTCTGAAAATTTTGGCATACTTCAGAAAAAATAGATGTGTGTGTGTGACGATTTCGGGCGTACGGATAAACCGATTTGAAAAATTCAAAAAGCAATCGATTCCTATTGATAGGGAGATGTGCTGATTAGTTTTTGGCAAAGGCAGGGTTAGCCGTTACGGAGATACGGAGCAAAGAGTGCAGAAAATAGAAACCGAGTTTATGAGAGAACGGAGTATCCGATTTGAATGATCCAAAAGACATTCTGCTGAAAAAAAATTATTTTAAATTTTTTTGTATATCGAAAATAATTCAGATTTGAATTTTAATTCTGGCTAAAGTTCTAAAGCTGACTTATATACTTTGAATAAATAATTTCAACTTTGTAATTCAGTTCATATAATTTATATAACTATTAGAAAATGTTACAGTATTTATAATAATCTATTTGAAAACATTTAATATTCCTCGATCATTTCGATACGGTACGGGAAGTTCCAGCAGTTTGCCATAAGGCACGATGCCATGCACAACTAGTTTTATATTATTTTTAACAAAATAAATTTATCAGTAGTCAATATCTACCTTTGTAATCGCATACTGAAGCAGTTGTGCTCTTTTGGATTTTACTTTTTATGACCATGATTGTTGGCGCAATTGTACATTACTTAATTTTAATGCATTCGGATTGACATATGCACGCAATTGCATTTCATACATCAGCATCTAATTAAATACTTTATACTCTATACACATATATACAAACATACATATACACACATTCATATACACACACATATATACACTCACATATACGACGATTTCAAGAATATTATTTAATAAACATAAAAACTTGGTTAACACAGTCATTATATCTTCATAATACCAATACCAAAGCATAAAGCTCTTTTAAATTAAAATGTTTAAGACAAATGCAGCTTACTGTAATTTTAATATTAACTCTTACAAATATCTTCTAAAACATTTGATTGAAATTTGAAGTATGCATAAATTTTGAAATAAAATAGATAAATATATATCTCTAATAAGTAAGATAGACATTGTTCACAAAATTTTGCTCAGAAAGTGTGACTCTATTTTTCTAATTTATATCCTTCCTTCTCCTCGATCCATTTGATCCAACTGATTTTAGTTCTTATTTTCATTAAGTTTATCAATTATAGACATTTGATCAATTTAATTAATCATTATGATCTTGTTTTATAGTGGTGACTGGTTCAACAGACGGCATAGGAAAACAATATGCGTTAGAGTTGGCCAGAAAAGGTCTCAACATCGTGCTGATCAGCAGAACTTTGGAGAAATTGACAATAGTCGCCAATGAAATAGGTAAAAAATAGGTAGAAATTTAAGTTTGAGATACTTATAAAAATCAACGAAGATGGCTCAACTATGGAATAAACTGTTGTGTATTTGTAATTGGGAATCATATGCTAAAATAAGTTAGACTTGATATCATTTTGCTGTATAATGCTTAACTTAATTTTTATATATTATTTTTCCTAATGACTATATCAAAAGTAATTTACTTTGACATATATCAACTTTTCTTCACATCATTTTACACAAGGCTTTCTGCATGTCAATGGTGAACCTGTAGATCAACTATAATTTATCATAAACTTATGCAATTTTTATACAAATCGATCATTTTGAAAGGAAAATTAAGTTTTCATTACAATATATTATAAACAATATTCACTTTGACTATATTTTTGTTAGTTTACATCCTATTTAATACATTTGTTCACCATAAAGGTAAAAGAACTGTACATTGCTTACTTAATAGTAATAAATATTATTTCAGTAAGATCCCAAAAACAATTAATACAGCTATAATTTTTATTTATTTATTTATTCATTGTATTAATTATAATTGTATAAATTATAGATCCGGATTATTTTTGCATAATCTTTTAAATTGAAATATTTAAGACAAATGCAGCTTATTGTAATTTTGATATTAACTCTAACTAAAATCTTCTAAAAGATATTGAAATTTGAAGTATGCAAAAATTTTAAAATAAAATAGATAAAGATCTAAACAAACGTTGTATTTGAATTAAAATACGTTTTTCAATAATACGTTTTATTTTGTGAAGTTGAATTTTAGGAGTTGAAAATTTAGGAGTATAAATTTTAAATGCTTTTAATGTTTTTCTTTTCAAAATTTCCTTTATTTACAAATAAATTGCCTCTCTAAATTATATAAAAAATATGATGTACTATATTAAAGCATTTAGTGAGATTCAAGGTATTTCCGCATTTATCATTTAAATCGAAGGCTATTTCATTTGCTCATGTAATATAAAATTAATACTAAAATGTAATGAGATATTCCATTCAGAAGAAATGATGACTCAATGCCAGAGTTTGGCATAAAAACCTTAATATTTTATTTGAAAATTTTCCAAGAATTAATAATAATAATTTAAATAAATATTCAACAAATACTAATTAATAAAAAAAAGTATGCTTCAATATCTATAAGTAAGCTGCAAATTTTTGCAGAATAAATAAAAAAAATCATTTAATCTAGATACAAATATTTTGGTCAATTTATTTTGAATTCATTTGATTCATTTCTTATTTTATGTTCAGAATCACAATATCCTGTGAAGACAAAAACTATTGTGGCTGATTTCAGCAAAGGTCAGGAAATATATAAACATATAGAAAATGAACTTTCTGGAATTCCAGTTGGAATATTAGGTAAGAATTTAGTTTTTAATTTTATAAGAAACGGCGAGGACGTGTTTGCTGAACATAAGGTTAATTTATAATTTATAAATGATGTTTCAGTTTGTAGTTAAAGGTTTGTTTAGAATGATTCGAATTATTTGATTCAATTGGCACATCAGCAATTCCAACTATAAATATTGGAAATGTACTAATATTGTTCTTCCAGTTAACAATGTAGGGAAACAGTATTCATATCCAATGTATCTGAGCGAAGTACCAGAGCAAGATCTTTGGGACATTGTCAACATAAATGTAGGAGCTGTTACTTCCATGTGCAGAATGGTCTTAAAACAAATGCAAGAAAGGAAAAAAGGTGCCATTGTCAATGTCTCATCTGGTTCTGAGCTGCAACCTTTGCCATTGATGACGGTATATGCAGCCACAAAGGTAAATGATAAATGAAAATTTTGAAACCAACGAAAAATTTGCGATCATGACTATAGAAATTGAGATAATTAACTTCCCGAAGGAGAAGTTTATGTTTTCATCAAAAAATCCGATTCGCTAATTTTGTTTTCTCGACGTTTCAAGCCATTCTGAATCGAATTAGACCAAATTTGGAAAAAGTATGTGTGTGTGCGTGTGTGTGAACATATTTTTTTTATCGTAAATCGACGTTTTTTCAAAAACGGCTGGACCGATTTCAAAAATTTAAAAGCCATCCCATGTATGTTGATGTATCGTTTGTCAGTTTTGTGCGACGATCAGCCGAGCCGTTTCTTTGTGAATCGCAGAGAAGTGACAAAACTTTCGTCCACGGTTTAGCCCGCAATTCTGAATAGATTTTGAAAATTCAAAAACCGTTCGACAGATATTGGTTGGGAATCGACCTGATTAGTTCGATTTTGGCAAAGATCGGTCGGGCGGGCTGAAATTTTGTTTCGACGATTTTTATGATTTTTTTTAACGGTAGATACCACAGTTTTATAGATCATACTAAAATATGATCGACCCTACGACAACTCGTTTAACTTAAAAATTCGTCAAAAGTTTGCAAAAATTAGTATCGTTTTTCTGGCATTTGTCAAAATTAGACCTTTCATCAACGTTTGCTCAAAAACGTCTAAACCGATTTCAGAAATTTAACAGCCATTTGATGTTTCTCGATGAAGCAGCTTTTCTCAGTCTTGAGCAGCGATCGGCAGAGACGTTTCTTTGTAATTTGGACAAAAGTGTTAAACTTTTCGTTCACATTTAAGCCCATACTACCGAAACGATTTAAAAAAAACAAAAACTGTTCAAAAGATATTAGTTGGGAATGATACTAATTAGTTTTAGTTGAAAATCTATCGAGCCGTTTTCTTGTAATTAACTGTTGAAAAAAAATTTAAGCCGACTTTTACGGAACTTTTTTGGCGATATATTAGGTTGTCAAATATCTCCCTTCCGCCTTTTTGTATTATAAACCAATAGCAAAAAAGCGGAAGGGAGATATTTGACAACCTAATATATCATGGTCTTATAGAACTTACTGAAATTTTACGGCCTTATGACAAGTACTTTAATTTTAAAAATTCATCAAAGTTTGAGAAAATAAGTAGTTTTATTGGCGTTTGTTAAAATCAAAATTAGACGATTTACTTGGTATAACGATAGAGTACTTGGTCTTAATGAACATACTAAACCATTAATGTCCTACGGAAACTGGTTCCATTATAAAAATTGTTGATTTGTGAAAATTTGCTTTTAGAAAATACTCCGAGTTAACGTGTTCGTTCGTTTTCAATTATGTGTAATGAATCCACTCGGAATATTTTTAATCACCCATAAATTAATTTATTTTTTATTGATTAAGTCGATTATTTACACTTATCGGGAACATCATGTAACTTGCCTCAAGGCAAAATACTAATACCAACTAGTTTATATAATCTTTCTAAGGACTGATTTTTTTTATTCTCAGGTGTATGTGAAATCCTTCACAGCAGCTTTACGATTCGAATGTGCCGATTATGGGCTTACTGTCCAGCACTTGGCTCCACTTTTCGTGTCAACCAAAATGAACCATTTTTCTAGCCGGATTTCAACAGCTAGTTTACTTGTTCCTGATGCGCGAACATACGCTCGGCATGCGGTCGCGACTTTAGGACGTACTGATAGTACGACAGGGTATTGGAGTCATGGAATTCAGGTGAAATTATTCTATTGATAGTCATTATATTATTCAATTCTTTATAATAGATCTGATAATATTAAAGTGTCAATTTTCACAGTACACATTTACATCGCTGCCACCAGTATGGTTACGGACGCTCATTGGTGGAATCATGAACATGAGCTTCCGGAATGAATACCTACAGCGAGAACAAAAGACTGCATAGATTAATAAACATCATATTATTATAAGCCAGAAAATTATAATCCAAAAATTGAATTGAATGAAATTCTGACCACTACTATAGTAATATAGATAATAAGAAATTTTACGGTTCCAAGTGCAAAGTTGAATGCATGAACACTGCAAAAGTGATATATTTTAACATAGTTTTTTAAGTTTGAAAATATGTTTGCCTGACTCGAAACAATCTTAATTCGAGATAATTAATGAAAGAATTCATGTATAACTTTGATCAGATGTAGATGTATATATGTGCCTATTCTGTATGCTTTAAAGACATGACATATGCCTAATAAATAACTTAATATTAAAAACTTGCAAAAGGTTTAAAAAGGGTAAGAATATAAATATTTTATTGTATAAATTTGTATATACAAATGTTGATATAATAAAAAATACATTAAACCTAAATTTTTAATTAATAACGAATATACATTTATTTGGCTTGTTAACTTACATTTAAGAAATTACGATTAAGAAATCTATAATAGAACTTGCAAATAGATTAATTTTTATTCATTCACTTTATTATTAACTTCCCGTAGGGTAGTTATAGTAATGGGCCGAAAATGGAAAATGAAAATTTTTATATATCTTTACGTATTGAAGGTTTCTGAACATTTAGGAATACTTCAGAAAAAATGGATGTGTTTGTGTATGTTTGTGTATGTGTGTATGTGTGCGCGGATACAAATTTTCGTCGACGATTTCAGGGACACGGATCAACCGATTTGAATAATTCAAAAAACATTTGGTTTGTATTGATAAGGAGACGTGCTGATAGGTAATTGGCAAAGGCAGGTTTAGTCGTTCCGAAGATACGGGGTAAAAGTGCTCAGTTTTTAGGAGAACCGAGCGTCCGATTTCAATAATTCAAAAAACATTTTACTTGCATTGACAAGATGAAGAATTGATTAAATTTTTGGGAAGGCAGGTCCAGCGGTTATGGACTCCCAATAAAAATAATTTAAAAAAATGTCATTTGGCTGTCAAAAATGTTTATTGGACATAGGCACATCAAATTATCAGATATTTTATAGAGATTTTAATGATGTGTACACATTTTGTGTATTTTTTTTGGGTTATAGTACGGAAATTGAATCTATTAACAAATTATTGTAAACAAAAATAAATGTAATAAATACGCAGTAAACATAACTAAAATCATTAAATTTAATGCTGCTACTTATAAAACTGCTCAAAATTTCGTATAAATTTCTATTTGAAATTACCGCCATTGCTAATATTTAAACGTCAAAATTCTAACGCCATAATCATGCAAAACTAACCTCTAATTTATTTCTTGTTGCACATATTATTACGAAAAGTTTCACCGTATTGCGCAATTGTTGAAAATTATTTGTTAGTTTCATCCCATATTGTTTAATGTGTATTGTAAATTGTTTTGATATTTTGGTTAATAAGATGTCGCAAAGTACAATTAAAATTTATAACAGTGAACAGTTTTCCTCAATATGTAAAGGATTAAAAGTTGCAGATTGTATGAAAAATTCAGATGATTATCAACGTATGTTATAAAATAATTTTTATTTGAGTTATATTTAAAAGTAACAATTTCATATTGTTAAATCAATATCATTTATTAACAGAAGATGCCGAACAAACTTTACTGCAATTACAAACCCTCGCTGTATCTGATTCTCTTTTTTGCTCATTTTGTCAAGAAACATTTGATAATGTGATTGATCAAAGAAATCATTATAAACTTGAATGGCATCGATTCAATTTAAAGAGGAAATTGATTGGTAAAAAGCCATGTACAAAGGATCAGTTTGATATCTTAAAAAATGTGGCTGTTAAAGGTACTTATTAACTTCTTATATATAGACAAAATTTATTCTTATTATAATAAGAATACAATAGAATAGAATCTTTTATTTTCTGATTTTTATGTTACTTCATAATTGTAATGCTCATGATTCAAATTATGAAGAATAATTTTTAAGGTGATCTATTACCATCGAATTCCGATGATGAGCAAGAATTTTCAACTATTTCTGACAATGAAAATGAGGAAGAAATCAGCGATTCAGAAAATGAATCATCAGAACAATATGATAAAAATCGACAGCTAGTATTATTGGCAACAAAATATTGCCAAGTGTTTTTTAGCAACGAAAACAATGATTTATTTTCAATATATAGATGTCTATTACATCAGAAAAAGGTTTGGCGATAATGGTGATTTTAAATTTTTTTCCTGAATTTTTGATAATGACGATAATATTATTTAAGACTCAATTAACTGATGATGAATTGATAACAGCGACCAGACGTTGGGAGAAAAACTCACAAATTTGTATAGTCTTAGTTGGTGGAGGTCATTTTGCTGGAGCTATATTTAATGGTTAGTAATGCAAATTTGTTAAAAAAATTTCAATATGAAAAAAGGCCAATGACGCATTAATATTTTGTTACATAATTATAGGTGAGAAAGTTCTTTTTCATAAAACTTTCCACAGTTATACAGTGAGACAAGGCCAAGGGGGATCTCAAGGCTCACATGATAATAAGCGGGGAGCCGCAAAAAGTGCTGGGGCTAGTCTGAGAAGATATAATGAGGCTACCCATATTCAAGTTAGTATTTCAAGATATAACTAGTGGTGTATGGAATCGTGCCTTAAGGCAAATTGCTGGAATTTCTCCTAACAAAAATTAAATATTTTAAATAAGATCAAATTTGTTTTAAACTTTGGAAAAATTAGATTTTTGAGAAATTTAAAATTTTTAAAAAAAATTTTTCTATTTGGAAATATTTTAGAAATTTTGAACTATTTTTCAAAGCAATTGCACTTCTTTACTATCTTTAATATCATTTAAATATCTGATAATTTGATCATTTGATCTGATAATGATCATTTTTTACCTCAAAATGGCATTTTTTTTACTTTTTTTACTAGATCTCCGAAACCGCTAGACCTGCGTTCCCAAAAATTAAATCAGTTTCTCATCTTGTCAATACAAGTAAAATGTTTTTTGAATTATAAAAATCGGACCTCCGTTCTCTTAAAAACTGTGTTTCCACGTCTTATTAATATATAGGAATCGAATGTTTTTTGAATAATTGAAATCGATTGAACCGTGTTACCGAAATCGTCGACGAAATTTTGTATCCGCACACACACACACACATACATCATTTTTTCTAATGTATGCCTAAATGTTCAGAACCTCTGAAACATAAAGATAATATATAAAAATTTTCATTTTCGACTTTGTTGCGATTACTATAACTTATCGTACGGAAAACAACTAATATCTAAAGCCGAAATATCAAATTTCATTAATTTGAATATTATTTTATTTCAATTTAAATTTTTTGTAGCATGTTCAAACAATATGTCTAGCTGGGAACAAGAATTATTAAATTGTCATGTAATATTATATAGAGCGAGTGGGCCATATAATAAACAAGTATTATTTGGTGGAAAGATACCAGCCTTGAATAAATCTGATCCACGAGTTAGGCCAATTCCTTTTCCAACTAAAAGAGCAACTTTCCATGAAGTCAAAAGGGTTCATGATATAATTACTGCTATTGAAATAAATAAAAATTTTGAAGCTGGTGAGTGTGTTTAATATGAAGAACATATGATAAGGGGGCGTCCATTAATCACGTGAGCTAGTTTTTAAGGATTTTTGGACCCCCTCTCCCCCTTGGTGATATCTGGTGATATTCAAAATTACCCCCCCCAAACATCACGTGTATTTTAGTTACGTGAAAAAACAAAATTTTAATTTCTTTTTTTGAAAATGTTTGAATTTTTTAAAAAAATCAGTTAAAAATAAACACGTGATTCTTACCAATACCCCCAACGTGATATTTCGTGATTTTTTGTCTAACCCCCCCTCCTCTAAAAACCTCACGTGATTAATGGACGCCCCCTAATGTTAAATAATTGTAACTTCAATTAATATAGGCCCAATGCCAAAGGTCAGCGTAGGAAACTCATCACCAAAATCTCAAGCCCCACAGGAAAGAAGAAGTAAATCTATTTCACCAAGGAAATCAAAAATAAACAGAGCAAAATCTAGAGAAATTACTCAAAGACCTTTACCATGTAGTCTAAGTAATAGTGAATCAGATGATGATATTGAAACCGATCCAACACTATTTTCCAACAATCAAGAAATAAACTTACAAGAAGTTTTACAGGAATCTGATAATTCTCCAGTAAAACCTAAAGTAAAGAAACGTCCCAAAAAAAAAAATAAAGCGCCCAAAATTAAATTAGAGATCAATGAAGTTTTAGTTGATATGAGACAAAAAATTTATAATGCTATTAAGTTGAATGATGTAAGTTTATTAAAATCGATTTTTACTGAGATAGATTGTTCCATTTCGGCTGAGAAAGTAGAGAGTAATACTGGCAATAATAACTTTTCCTGGACGACGGATGAACTAGTTAAGGTATCGTGAATAAATTTTTCAGTTAATATGAACTCTTAATGAAATCTGGAAAAAATAATTTATTTGAAACATATTTGACTTTTTTTTATATAATTAAAAAAAAGAATTGTAAATTATTCAATGAATTTAAAATATTATATACGTCTTATATTTAATTTGCATGTTATTTCAGTTTCTGAATGACACTTCCAGTAATAGTAATAAAAATACTTTTCTGCATTTGGCGAGTCAAAATGAACAGCCTGATGTGGTGCTGATTCTTTTAAATTCTGGAAGTGATCCTTGCATTAGAAATACTCAAGGAAAAACACCATACTGCATGACAGAAAATGCGAATGTTAGGAATATTTTCAAAACTTTCAGGATGCAAAATCCTGAGAAATTTAATTATGCTAAGGTATGTAATAAGCCCTATTCATCTACAAGTTGCAATATTATATAATATTATTTATATTGATTATTTTATTAATGTTATTTTCTGATCTGGTTAATTTTCATTTTGAATTTGAACATTACATCAATGGTTGGTATTTTATTAGTGCAATATTAATATTAACTATTGCATAAAGTTAAAATGAATACATTTTGTATATTTCTTTCAGTCTCATATCCCAGAAATTTTAAATGAAGATGTGGCTAGTGAACGCGCAGAGAAGCGAAGAGAGATCAAAAAAGCAAAACGAGAACGTGAAAAAATAAAAAGAAAAGAGGAAGCTGAAAAAAAATTTGATGAAGATGAAAGAGTTAGGTTCATGCATCTAAGTGACAGAGAAAAGGTAAATTTAATAAAAGGATTGTTATGTAACATTACTCACACACAGACACATATTATATATACATATATATATATATATATATATATATACATAAATAAGGAAATTATTTAATAAATATATATATATATATATATATATATATATTTATTTATTTATTTATAGAGAGCTCTGGCTGCAGAACGACGTATGTTGGCTAATCCACCAGTGACAGCAATAGGTATGAAGGTACTTGCCAGGTGTTTTACATGTGGGGCAGATATTTCGGGTAAAGTGCCATTTGAATATAATCAGAACAGATTTTGTACAATAGATTGTTTAAAAGCTCATCGATTGAGCAATACAAAAATACTAAGTTAATAAGAATAACACTGGAGTAAAGAAAAATTAGTCAAATATTTAAAAAATGTGCTAAATAATTATATTAATAACATAATATATATATATATATATATATATATATATACATATACATAAAATTTTGCTATAATAAATATTTTGCATTTAGAATATTTGACCATATATATTGTGCAGGATATTTCTTTTTATGTTTAAATAAATATTGAAAAGAACAATAGAGTATTATTTATTTACAGTATAATTTATTATTATTTTGAGATAAAAAACAGATGAAGATTTTATTATTACAAGTTTCAAAATCTCGAGATCAATAGTGTGTATAAGTCGATTATTTACACAACTTAGTTCATGTAACTTGCCCCAAGACAAAATAGTACCAAGAATATTAAAGACACAATGCTCAGCACCTTAGATAAATTTATAAAACTGGAAAGTTTGAAATTAAAAAATCAGTATTTGATTTTGCCTTATCATATTTATTACTTTAATACAATTATACAATACATACCTACACATGTTGAATAAAGATAATTTTAATTTAAACTATAGTTTCAAATACTATAAAAGAATATTAAAATACATAATTATGTTAAAGTAATAGGCTGTTACTTTTCAATCATAAATGCAGAACATTTAAATAATTACCTATGATCTTCATCCTAGACAATATGGTAATCTTGTTAAAAAGTCAAAAACTATAGTCCATGGTGCTTCACTTAATTCACACATGTCAAGCACTCAATTCACCCCTATTAAACCAAAATGTTCAAAAACCTTTGAAACGTAAAGATAAATAAAAATTTTCATTTTCTTTTTTTTTTGCAATTACTATAACTTATCCTAAAGGAAGTTAATAAATGATCACCATGTTTCAACTTATTGACAAATCAGTTGGTTTTTCGAGTTTAAACGGAGCGTAACGTTTGACGAAACGGATTTGTTAACGAGAGAAAAACGGTTTAAAAAAAACTAATCGTTAACTTAACGCCTGTCACTCGATGTCACTCGAAATCAGTTATTGTCGTTGATACAGTTAATGGAGTTTGTTTGTTCATTTTGATTTTGTCTTGTCAATTGAATCAAAATGGCACTCTGGAGCAAAGTTACAAATTGCGATTTAGATTGTGAGACTGTTTCTTTTGGTACAAGGCAGTTTGCTCAAGCAAATGGAGCTTTATACGAGTGTTCAACACTGGCTGTTATTACTCCTGACTCAGAGGTGATCTATTTTATTTTGAAATATATTTTTAATTAATCTGATTATTATTAACTATCAACACTTGAATTATTAAGTCAATTATAGTATTTTGTAATGTAACTATTTGGAACTAATGGAACTTTTGTATCATTCTCTTTATGTAAAAGTTTACTTTAACTTATTAATTAATTAACTTATTTATTCAATCCCTATGGCAATATTACAATAAAAATATACCTTTTAGTATGCAAATTAAAAACTAAAGATAACAGGTGAGAAAAATCGTAGTTTTTAAAATTCATGTACACACAACATTTAACTATAAACGTACAACACTTTAAACTATAAATCACTATTTATAACAGTCATTTGAGAATGATTTTTTTGGCTTTACATTAATTATTTCATACTGACGTCTCGAAAGCAAACTTCTTTATTACCTGGATATTTCGTATATTGGAGCAAAATGATATTTGCTTTAACTAGAGTATATCCACAGTCTTATTGCAAAATTTTAATTTCACATTATAAAACATATTATTTATATATTGATGTATCTTCAATTTCAGGAAGCGAAAACACCACACATTAAATCTATTTGTTGTGATTCTTTCATTTACTTGGCAATTGATAATTCATTCACTATTTTATCGGGCGAATCCTGTGTACATGAAAGATCTGATATATATGAGGCTCCAATTGACTGTTTCTCTGTAAATAAAGCAATGAAAATGATAATATTATGTTTCCAAAATGGACAGATATTTGGTTTAGATGTTCAAGATCATGCATTACTATTCGAAGTGTAAGTGTTATAAGAAAATACTGTTTTTTCTTTAGTAATTTGTAACTTTATTTTATTGATATGTCTATATAACAGGGTGCTTGAACATGAAGGTACATATGAAGGAAAAGCTTTCATAACTATTGTAGAAGAACATGAATATTGTGTTATTATAGCAAGTTCTGGAGCTGCATACAGGTATATAAAATAAATGAGAAATAATACTCAGATCAAGCTCATTTTAAAGAACTATATTATAAATGAAATAAATATTTTTATTTACAAAATTTTAGATTATCCAAAGACTTTGATACATCAGTAGAATCTAATCATACAAAATTTTCATTTGAGGCAGTAAATGATATTAAATTAAATATTCCTTATCCTGTCGCTGCAGTTCCTGGTGAAAATAATTACTCGTATGTTTTTGGAGGTCAAAGAGTAAGTTCAGTATTAGCAATAGTAAATGTGATTGAATTAATGCGGATTGTATGCATTAAATATATTTTATTTATATTGTTTATGAAAAATTATTACATTGATTGTTGAAAATTGTACATAGTGCAATGATTTATTGTTTTATAATATATATATTTATATATATATATATATATATATATATATATATATATATATGAGTGAGTTCTTGAGGGCGATACATCAAACAAAGAAAAGCCAAAGATTTATAAAATAATCTTTATTTCCAAAGGTTTCGACATTCAATTTAATGTCATCATCAGTGGATATTATGTTGGTTGGTTACATATAGAGAGGTGTACACAGCACTAGAGATTGGCACTAACATTTATACAACTAACTTGTCAACACTATGCATTTTTTATAATTTTTTGTATGATGTAAACAGAAAAATGATAGTTTTATTGAACAAAAATGTAAGTAGAATTATGTAATTTTTGCCACGACTTCTGTACTTTGCAAGTACCGAGGCATGTATACATAATATCCACTGATGATGACATTAAATTGAATGTCGAAACGTTTGGAAATAAAGATTATTTTATAAATCTTTGGCTTTTCTTTGTTTGATGTATCGCCCTCAAGAACTCACTCACATATTTCAACATCAAAATTAACTACTAAACCATATATATATATATATATATATATATATATATATATATATATATATATATAATTATTATTTATAGATCGAAATTGCCAATTATGATGATGTCTTTTCTGTACCCATGTTGAATAGTAAAATTAAGAAAATGGCCACTGTTGATGGATTTAGGTATATGATAATGTACAAAACACTTTTACTTTATTTATCATTGGCATCATTTTCTACAATTTTTCAGCAATATTTTTTGCCTGCTGAGTGATGGCACATTGAACACATTATGCTACTATTCATTATACATGTCACCAAGAAAATTAGATTATTTTGTGGATGATTTTGTAATCATTAAAACTCCTGATACTGATACATGCAATTTATTAATGTCATGTGATAATAACAAACGTCTTATGCTCGCAGAATATCCAAGTAAGTAATTAGCTTAGTTAATAAATGGCTTTACTTATTACTTAAAATATTGTCCTCATTACTTAAAAGTTGCCTTCATATTTCTAATTTTTGTATTATTTAGTAAAATAATTATGCAAGGGATAGATTTTTTTCTGTTTTTTCTTACTGTCAGTGCATTCTAAAAAACTGATTGATTTTTGATCAGAAACACTTTATTCAAACGTTTCATTCCCTTTGATTATATCTAATATTTTTCTAGGCATGAAGGAAATATATAGCATACACGTAAAAAATAAAATAGAATTAATAGATTTTATTGATATACCAATGGACATCAAATTTATTGAGTATGTGGGCGATAGCATCAATTGCCCAGAAATTCGTATCAGGGCTTTAGTTGAAACACATCCTGAACTTCGTGTTCAAAGGCTTATTACTCGAGGTAGATTTGATGAAGCTGAAACACTTGTAAAACAATTCAAATTGAGCATGGATGAAATTAACAAAGCTAAAGCAACTCTGGAATTAAAGAAATATTGGGAATCTGTTAGTGTATGTAATATTTTTTTTTCTATTTATATAAATAGTAAAGCTATTAATTTCAATTATATTTTGAATTTGAAATTATATATTTAACTTCTAGAATATATCAGATGAAACTTTTGATAAGTTGATAAGTCTTCTGGATTCTATCAAAGATAATTCTTGTATTGCCGATTGGTGTTTACAAGCTCTGCACAATGAAGTTTGTGATACAAAATCTATGAAGAAGTTACTGCATTATGTTATAAATCGTATCAAAGATCATTTCGAAGTAAGCTTTATTGTGGACTTCATTTTTTACAATTTTTATTTCTCACTGTATGTTCAATATTTACAGCTGGAGAACTATTCAAAACGTTTTCAAGATACATTGTTGAGGTTGGAAACATATAATCTATTATCTTTGCGCATGAATATACCATGGGCTCAATTCCGACACAAGAATTATACGCAGTTGTATCTAAGTCTGTTGGACAGTGAGGATTGTATGTCTGCGGCTGCTATATTTGCCAGACATTTTGACTCAATTTGTGAAGATATGACTTCTAATACTGTGCAAATTTTTCTGCAAAAAATTCCTAATATTGATCCAACACATATGTTACCCTGCTTGCGGCATTTTATACCAAAATTTGTGCAAAGAATACCATCTGCTTTGCAACAAATTGTGGACTGGGTTAAAAGAAAAACTTTGTAAGATTAAGTTTGTTTTATCTTGATAGTAAACTTGATTTGGCAGTATAAATTCTGATATATATATATGATAAACATAAATTCTTATAAATTCAGAGAAAATATTAGAATATTCAAATAAATTATTATTCATTCTTTATCATAATGGGATGTTTTTTATGTATAAATGAGTTAATTTATAATAGTATTTTAATATTTTCTATTTAGGTCATTTGAGGGGTGCTATAAGTCTTTGTGGCCTGATATTGGAAGAGACTTTTGTGAAGCTATTCTGGAAATACTACACATGGTTGACCAGGATTCAAATCATCCTACAGTAAGTTATTTATATATTTACCAGTACTTTACCCCTTTATTTTTGTCGATTCTTCAAAGTATATTTTCTAAGTGATTTTTATCATATAGGTAGCGGACTCTATACTGGATGATTTATTAACCTTAAACAAGTCTTTGGAGGAACTCATTATTCTTAAAGAGCAATTTAGCATAAATTGTTCTTCAGGAAGATATATGAAGGTAATTACATGCCAGAATTATAATTATTTCATCTAACTAAATTTCTTCTTCTAGAATGACTTTACAGATGTTGCATTAATTTTAATGAAACAAGTACCAACAAATCACATTGAGACATTCTTGAAAGACTTTTTGATTCCTCGACTTTGTATAAGGAACATTGACTTGAATGATTTATTAAACAAGCATATATCGGTAAGTGATACATTTATCTGTAACAAAATTCATTAGTAGCAATTTGTCTAAAAGACTGGATGTGTGATATATTATCTGGGCCTAAAATTTTCAGTGCATCCGACAGTTAAATATCGTGAATTATTGTTAAATATAACAAAAAGTGAAAATTTAATTTGTATGTTAGGAATTATACTATAAACAATACTTGCACTAGATAAAAACTTATAAAATGTATTCAAAAATTAAATTTTGTTTCAGGATTGCTTAAAAAAGCGAGATAAAGATCAGCAGTGGGAATCAAAAATGTGTAGTTTTGCCCTGCACATAACAGATGAACTTGTTGCAATGCAATGTATTCTGAAAATATTAAAGGTAATTTTTATATTACTCCATATATATATATATATATATATATATATATATATATATATATATATTCAAACATTATTTTGAGTAGAGTGCTAAGTTGCCCTGGAGTGCAATCATTATGGATTTATATGAACGTGGAGCATCTTCCCAGCATCCATTATCTAGTGAAATTAGAGGTGCTCATCAATTAACTGCCTTAAGATTTATTGAAAATAAATATTGTTTCGAAGAATGTGCTGACGAAGATGATTTATTGGTAAGCTTTTTCATCATTCTTACCTAAAAATCACAAGAATTTTAGCATATTTTCTTCTTGATATGAATGAAATTATTGTTCAAAAATAAATATTTAATATCCTTATAATTGTTTGATTGTAGTTGCTGGTGGAGAGAATTCTTTATGTTAATGAATTAGAAGCTATGAAGGATATTCACAAGGTATCGTAAATGTTTATTATTTGTTTCAGTCTCTAATTATATAAACTTCTATCATTTTTTATTACAATCCTAATTATAGGTTATTGGTGCTCAACCTGAGATGGAAAGTTGTATATACAGAACTGCCTTATGCCATTACATACATCAAGGGTAAATAATGCACAAAATTAAATTGTATTATTACATACATATTACAAATTATTTTAATTTTCAGAAATTTTGAAAAATGCATCAATATAATATATAATTTGGCAGATATTGATAGCAGAACTGGACTATGCCTATATGTGATTCAAATGTGTGAGATTATCTTGCAAACTAAGGTACAGGTTTTATCATTAAATTAATTTAATTAACTTTCTAATTGACAAAATTCCTAATGATTGTGTTGTTACAGAAACCATTGAATAAACCAGAACTATCATTCTTTGAATTTTTGAATTTCGTTAAGCAGGAAAGCTTATGCGTCAATGAGAAAAACTTAAATAAAATTGAAGTATTTGAAAAAATTGTCAAACTTAAGACAAAATATGATATACATTTTAATTATGGTGATTATTATCATTATCGAAGTGGGTTTGAAGAAGTTTTAAATGAATTGATTCCGAAAATCATAAACAATTATCAAGGTTTTGATGAGATATTTGCAAGTCTTCAGGAAATTGCTTATCTCTGTGATATCAAACTAGAAGTCGTTTTGATTGAACTATGTAAACAAACATTGAATTTGGGATTGATACTGCATTGCATTGGGTAATTCTTGTTTTATAATGCATTTGAAATGTTTATTTTTTTTTTTTGTAAAAATTTCTAATTTATCTTTTCAGAAAGCTACTAGTTACACAAACTATTTATAACTCAACTGATAATAAGCGTGAGAAATTTGTAGTTTTAGCGGCTCATCTAGTTAACATTTATGGCAGAGAAGATATAAATATGCAAATTTTCTTTTAGAAAATAATATTATGCATGGCGATCTTGATTTGGTTTATCCATATGCTTTGCAGTTGATGAACCTACATTGCTGTTGCAGTGAATGGGGTATGTAAATTTTAATCCTTAGATTTCTATTATTCTCAATATGTACTTCAATCATATTATAGTTGTGGGAATTAAATAAATAATATTCATTTTAAACTAGAAAATGATTCCAGTCCATACTTCTTATTTTATAAATGGATATGCATTGGTGCTGAAGATGCCGATGACTATTTGATGGAAACAAATCAGGGGCATGATGTAAAGCTGCCGTCTGTTACAACTGTTTACAGAGATGCATCTACTTTGTCTGATGGTAGAAATGTTCGTAAAATCATAAGCTTAATGATTAGCAATATTTGTAAGTAATAATAGTTTTAATTGGCAATAACATTTAGTAATCTTTTAGTACAAATAGTTGACTAATTTTTAGTGTAAAATAAAATAATATTTTTATTAGTAACTACGTCACTAATATTATTATATTTTTCAGTTTCCACAAACTTTATTGGCAGTGAATTTAATCCAGTATTCAAGGGTTCAAGTAGCAGCTGCTTGAATTTATTGACAAAATTTCCCAGTAACCGACTTTTGACTCAATTACGAATAATTCAGTTATTGAATATACATAATGATGGCTCTATAGTAAGTATATGAAAAAATGACTGGCAAAATTATACACAATTGTTTATATATATATATATATATATATATATATATATATAAATATGTTGCAAAAACCTTGTTTAATGAATTTTATTTTGGTTTATAGAGTCGAGAACACTTGCAAAGCCTGATTCCTCCATTAATAGAAAAGACATTGCTAAAAATGACAGCTCGTAGTAAATTTGATATAAGCAATTCGTTGGCGGTTTTGAAATTGTCAAATAGTCCAGATGAAGTGTGTGAAAAATTGATGACAATGTAAGTGTAAAACTTTTTTGATCTATTTTGCAAAGGGGCAAGGGAAAAATGTTTAGTAATAATCTATTAATAATAGCTTGCAACTGCTTTTCTTGTACTACTAATACTATATAGTATATCTTATAAGCATATTGTTGAAACTTTGAATTCTCCCTGTTAAACAAATTCCTTCATATTGTTGAATAATATAAACTCATAGCAAAATTTAAAAAAAAGTTTTGAAGTTAAATTTTTTTGATTAGGCTATCAGGTCAACCACTGCGTCAGCTCAATATTGCTTCATTAGCTCAAGAATTTCAGAAAGTTATCGGAAGTTATTCTCAAGAAAATTACTTTAATTTAGTATTTAACAAAAAATGTTGTAACTGGGCAATTAAATTGAAGAATATGAACTTATGTGTACCAGGTTGAGTTTATATGATTAAAAAACTTTTTTTTTGGGATAAAGTACTTACTTATTTTAAATTTTAGATGCCACAACCTCTAGCAAAAATTGGCATTTACATGTTTTAAAAAAGTTGTATACCTTACCAGCTACATATAGCTTATTACAGGAGTTTTGCAAAGATTTTCAGATGGAAGAAAACTTAGATTCTGTATTGATACAACAGCTTGTTTATTATCTCTCAAAATTAAAACTGCAAATTAAATCTACTCCTGACAAAATATTAAAACAAGGTATGATTGTTTTTGTGAATTCACTGGTACAATCAAATAAGGAATTTTAATTTTTAGGATTAGTTGTTCAGCCTTCAGAACAGGAAATAAATAGAATATGTTCGGATTATACAATTAAATTGAACAATACTAAGTTGATTGGAGAAATGGAGCAGCTTATTCCAATGGTAGATAATTTATTTATATTAAATATCTATATTAAATATCTATATTTATATTCAAGACTCAAGACATTTATATTTAATATCTATATTTATATTCAAGATTTATAAGTGAAAATAATTTAAAATATAGCTGGAGTATTCTATTCTAAGTATGCAACAAAATTTTAGAAAATTTATTTTTATTTTTATATTCTCAAATATTAGTTATAGTCTATTAAATCTGTTATAGATTAATCTATATGATTATGAGATTTATATGGCAGTTCTGAACATTCTAAAAACAACGGGACACCAATCATATAGTAACTGGCTAGAAATTTTAAAATTTTTGAAAAGTTACACAAGGAATGTTCCTTTTGGGCAAATTGAACATGAGGCTTGGACCCAATGTCATAGTGACGATATATCTCCATTAGCAAAATATCGAATGCCGTTTTTGTGTGTTATGGATGCTGCAAAAGTATTTGAAATAATAAGTAAGTACTTGCTGACATTCTTTTGAAAAAGTTGATTATTAATTGATTGATTTCCTAATATTATTTTTATTATTTTATTTGCTACATAACTTTAACAATTGTAAACAAGTTGTATTTAATTTAATAGTTAACTTTGTATTTTAGAGCATGAAGTTGATGTTAGCTCATGTAAACGATGGCTCGATATTGCACATAATCTTCCTCTTAATGAATCCCAACGTCATATCAAAGACAGGTTATGCCAGTATGCAATCAAAAATACAGTATGTGCTTTATTTATCATAAAGATTATTTTTTAACATTTTTAATTTCTTCAAAATTTATTGTTTTTTTTTTCAGATGTTAAAAATTTATCAGCCTTCATTATCGCAAGAATGGAGTTTGTCTATGGTAGAAAAAGAAACCAGGGAAGAATGTTATGAAATTCTAAAGTTAGTATATATTGCAATAATAAGTATTTTAATAATTTGCGTTACTAAATTATATTAATATATTGAATATATTTAATTAATAGAGGATTTTTTTCATTAATTAATATGTAATTATTTCTTCAGCTTAATAAAAGATGTGGAAAGGTATTCTGCTGTTATGTACTTTATAATGAATTATTCAAGACCTGGCGCAGACTTAGTAGCAGCTTCAAAAATTTGTTACGACTATGCAGTTAATTGTACAGACCAAAAGATCAAAACATCTGTGGAAAAGGTTATAAATATATATGAAAAGTTTAGAAACTATTTTCTGATAGTCATATTTCTATTTAAATTGTCTAATAATGCTTTATAACATGAATTTGATTTTTCTTTCCAGATGTTACGTAAATATCCAATGTACGCTACAAAGCATATTTTAACATCCAATAATCTCAATGAAGATTATTTGTTGCAATTACTGGAGAAGCCTCAAGAACTGATTTTTGCTCTTTATGATCATCCGATTGTGCTGAATTGCGCCGGATTTACAATGAATGACACACCTGGTATCATATTTAATTAAATTTATTAGAATAGAATTTAGTGAATTTTAAAAACAAAATTTATAAATATTTGTAATGCATAGTGTAAGTTTTTATTTGAAAACTATTATGACTGATAATGATGATTAGTTTTATATGATTCTGTGCCTTTTAATTTTCTCAAAATTTTGCTTTTGACTAATTTGAAAAACCCAAAGTAAAATTGGCCGAGTAGAATTGAAATTCCACATGGATTTACATTAAGTTTTTTTGAATCTTTGTTCTGCAAAGTAATATTGATTTCTTTTATTTATATTTAGGAAAAAAATTATAAATAACTGTTATGGAACTAGTTATTAAACAATTTAATTATTTTCAGTGCTTAATACATGTGTGTTAATTCTATTATAATAATAGATCAAGTTCAAAACTGTTTACATATAAGGTAATTTTATTTTGCAGATATTAATAAAGTTGTTCAACAGATAGCAGAATTGCATAAGTCAATAGACCTACGTACTTTAAAACACAATTTGATTAACCAATGGCTACAAGCTTCAAATTTGGCCTCTAATTTGGATGATTCAATAACTATGCATAGCATGGTTCCTGAAAAAGGTGATACTGCTTTGGACAGTGCCAAATGGGATGATAACTTAACGAGGTATCCATATCTAATTAATAATTCAGAAATTGATTAATTGATTGCTTGAAACACCGAGAAAACTAAATTTAAAAATCGGATTGTAAAGTTTATAAATGCACCCTATTTATATTTTTACAGAGCATGCTATGTTCTAAAGTCTTATGATAAAAAGACTGTGATCGAACTGTTGGGTACCAATCTTGAAACTTCTGTTGAGTCAGTTCCTGTCATATGCAGATTGCGAGCTTTAAGATGCATGATTAAAGTGTGCGGACTAAAATACATTGAAGAAACTATGTATTTAGATAGGCTGCAAGTTCAGTAAGTGCTTCTTGCTATGAAACTCAAATAATTATTGTTATATGATGATAACAATTAATTATGTACTAAATTTTCAGGAAGCTAATTGGCGTTCTTACAACAAGACATTATTTGGAATGCATTGGATTATCATACTCTATGGATGATTATAATAAAATCAATAAAGAATCTCTGGTTCAATATTTACTAAAGAACTTTAATAATAACACTATCGCCATTAGTTTCTGTGTTCAAATTTGTCAGAATAATAAGATTATTACAGAAAAAATTTGGGATGATATATTGGAATCATTAATATCGTTTGGGATGGTAAGTAGTTATTATTCAGTATAATTTTGAAATTTTTTTTCTTCATATTTTTAACTTCCCGTAGGTTATAGTTATAGCAATCGCAAAAAAAATTCGTTTCAGAGGTTTTTGAACATTTTGGTATACCTTAGAAAAAATGGATGTATGTGTGTGTGTGTGTGCGGATACAAATTTTCGTCGACGATTTTGGGAACAGGGTTCAACCGATTTCAATTATTCAAAAAAACATTCGATTCTATTAATAAAGAGACGTGCTGATCAGTTTTTGGCATAGGCAGATGTAGCCGTTTCGAAGATACGGGGCAGAAAGTGCCAAAAACGTTAACCCAGTTTCAAAAAATTTCCAAAATATTTCAAAATAAAGAAATTTTTTTTTCAAAGTTTGTTCTTTCCAAAAAAGTAATTTTTTTCATTAATTTAAAAATTTTCCAAAAACCTAATTTTTCAAAGTTTAAAAAAAAAATTTAATATTTTTTAAAAAAAATTATTTTTGGTACGGGAAGTTCCAGCAATTTGTCTTAAGGCACGATGCCATGCACCTCTATAGTCATTCTATATATAAAAACTAGAGAAGTATTGCATATATTAATTTCAAGATATGAAGTTGATTTAATGTTTAGCTAGTAATAATATATTCACTGATGCCAGGTAAAAATAATAAAATTTCTACATCATTCACGTCATTTGTTGGTAGATCAAGGAGTTGCAATCTGCACTAACATGGCTAAGAACATACCCAAATTTAAACACATTGCCTGTTATTAAAAAGGCATGGCAGTTTATTATTAAAATGCCATTTGTAGAAGCTGATGTTAAAAGAAATCCCGCCCAAGAAAAAAGTTGTGCTACTGCATTACTTAATTTACAGGTGAAATAATTAAATAAATCGCCTTTATTTCACTTCTTTAATAATAAATATTGTATTATTCAAATAATATTTATAAAATTGGGATAGAATGAATGTTTTTATTTATATATTTATAGTGTTGTCCTGTGGCTGAATCAATAGATCTTTTAGATTTGGCAGAATGTTGTATTAAAGCTGATCGTCCTTATATGGCAGCAGCTTTACTACCACTGGCTAATGACGAGGATAAGGAGAGCTTATTAAAGGTATTACACTATTATTTTTCTCTAAATTTGAATATCCTTTTTTTAAAAACATATTATATTTTTAGTTAATTCGTTCCAAATCATCACGTGAAGATCTAGAAACAAATGTTACATTCTTGGAAGAATTGGGGATTTTATTTGTTCCCCAAATATTACACATCTTAAAGACGTATTAATTTTTCAGTTTATATAGGTCTGTGATTGTTATTTTTATACTATGTATATATAGATATACATAATACTTTGTATTTAAACCTGTAATTTAATAAATTTATCAAAGATATATGTCTGTATATATCTTCTTGAATTTAACACTACATTTTTAGAATATTTCATTCAAAATGTTACTTTCTGTCTAATTTTTTTTTATTTATTAACAACAAGCAATGCAAACATAATCGAAAAAAATTGATTTCAACTTCTATACCTTGCAATTATAATTTAATCCCATTTATCACCATACTTATTTGAAGTTGTGGGTTTAGGAGGTACATCTGTGGGCTGTATTCTTGGTTTAACAAGTGAAGCATCTTCAACTAAGCCTCTGCAAAAATACAATGCAGATTATTAACTCTGATGTTCTACGATCTCTAATGTCATGCTCCCTACTTATAGTTTTGCATCCTCGATTTTTGATATTCTTCACGATTTTTCCTCCGTAATTCTTCATATGTTGTACTTGAAGCAGGTGGCGTAGTTGGTGGTAGATTTTCGTGCAAACTATCATTCCCTAATAATAATATAAAATTCATAATATAAAAATTTTCGATAAGAATTTATATAGTATTTTATGAATGTCTTACAATCCATATTTGGCCGATAAGTATCATCTAGACCTGATTGATATGGCCTGTCTGTATCCATGTCCAATACACTTTCTTGTTCTGAGAATCCATCTGTATATACATCCTTATTTAAAGAACTTGTAGTTAAGCTGGTGCCTAATGCATTGTCTATAGAAATCCTGCAAAAAGTTCATTAATGTTTAATATCAAATATTTTAATTTGATGACTTGATTTGATTACTATATACAAACATATAAGTTTTATAACACACCTTTCCAAGTCCCCGAATTTTCTTTGCCGTAATATTTGTGCCAATCTACTATTGGGTAATTGCATTAACTTTTGAGCGCATTTATTTTGATATGAAAATTTTCCCAAAAAATATCCAAAAGCCACTGCACCTAATACTTTTGGTATTGCTCCATACTTAGCGCTTGGGCTTAAAAAGCCTATTAAAACATCCATATTATTTTGCAATGATTTTTAATTATAAAATTCAAACAATATATAATTATGAAACCAGCAGGGTAAATAAATGAGATGGTTGAAATTACAGATGAAATAGTAAAAATGTCTTATTAGCTAATGCAATTTAGATTTTCATATAATTGATTAACATACATTGCACTTTAAAAAATTATAAAATAATAGATAAAATAATAACTTATTGTATCCTCATTATTTATTATTCTTTTACATATATAAAATCATTAACTTTAAGCGCAAAAATAATTTAAAGAACAAAGCAAAATGTGGAGACTATAAACGGTTTACACAAACAGAAGCCAGTGGAAAAAATGTATGGAAAAAGACTTTGTTTTAATGGAAAATATATATATATATATATATATATATAGTTTTTTAGTGTGTTTGGTTTCAGTATTTAAAATTTTGCACTTATGGTACCTCTTTTAACACCCATGTATGTTGTAGTCCCAAAAATAGTAAGTAAAGGCAGCGATCTTTCAAAAAACGCTTCAACGTTACATTGTTTTAAAACTCGAAGTTCGTCAGGTGAAAATTGGTAATTTGCCTAAATTTTTAGAATTAAACATAAATAAATATAAAATGTCAATTGCAATTAATTTTATTTTTGTATTTTACTAGGGGATTGGGGTCGTTCGGAGTCTCTTGCGCAACATGCTGCGGGTTTGCACTATTCATTTTGTATACAACTTTTATTCAAATATCTCCAAGAACATTAGATTATATAAATAAATTCAACATTTACATTTATGTGAGATTTCAAGATAATAACCTATAATATACAAATAGTATATTGTAAAATTATTGTGACATCTAGAGTAATCAACTCGAATGATGCAATTTCTGTTATGTATCTTGGGTTGAGAAGAACTGGATTAGCTGTTATCTGTCATTTTTCAACGTTTTCTTGCGTTGCGTTCTCATTCGTTGTTCGTTGGTCACAATGTTAGGTTATGTTAATTATATGAACGATAAAAAAAATTAAATTGCAATGATTTGTAATCGTATTCATTTTTAATTACCATCAAAATAATGATTAAATGGACTCTATACACCTTTTGTGTGTCATGTTTTGCTTTCATGCTGTTTTTGTATGGCTTTTTCCCCTTGAATATTAATTCGAAAAGTTTCTCGAAGAAAGAAGATTTGCCGAATTTGAAAACTTTTCAGTCGTATGTATTATTTATAATATAATATGATGTGAATTATATTTGTGTTTTACACTAATTGATTATGTTCATGTTGTTTTAGTATTTCTTCAGAATCTTATTCTCAATCAGTGAACAAAGTTGTGTTAATGATTATTGATGCTTTTCGCAATGATTTTATATATGAGTTCAATGATAATATGCCGTTTCTACAGAGGATTATTAAAGATAGACATACGTGTGCTTTTGTATCTGAAATTAAGACGCCTACTGTAACATTGCCAAGAATAAAGGTATAAATGTCATTTTAATCATTTTAATTATATGAATTGAAGTTAAACTAGTCTCCGTAATATTTTTGTATATTCTACTATATGATTTATATATTGATTTAATTATAGCTTATTGTCGAAATATTATTGATAGTTTTTATCAATAAGTATAATTTGTTATAATTGTTATTTTTACATAATTATTTTATTTTTTAGGCCTTAACAACTGGATACATTCCAGCGTATATAGATGTAGTCTTGAATTTTGGTACTCAAGCTTTAATAACTGATAATATAATATACCAATTTTATTCCAATTCCAAAGATCTAGTTTTTTATGGTGATGATACATGGCTTAAATTATTTCCAAATTTATTTAAAAGATTTGAGGGAACAACTTCCTTTTATGTTACAGATTTTTATGAGGTATATATTATATGTGGTATAAACTATAAAGTTATACTTAAATCCATTTAAGTTTCTTTAGGTAGATTACAATGTGACGAAAAATGTTAGAACAGAGTTGCTTAATGATGATTGGAGTGTTATGATTTTACATTACCTAGGGCTTGATCACATTGGTCATGTAGAAGGACCCCAGGGAAAACATATTAAGCCAAAATTGAAAGAAATGGATGATGTGATTGAATATATTTACAAAAATTTAATAAAAACGGTAAAATTATGTTTTCAAGTCATTCTGACATCAAAATTCAAAAAATTAAAGCTAATTTCATGAAACTCTTCTTTGTGATCTATATTTCAGGATTCCGAAAAAAATAACAATTTATTCATTATTAGTGGAGACCATGGTATGAGGGACTCAGGTGGTCACGGAGGTTCATCTGAACCAGAAACAAACATTCCACTTATATTTGCTGGAAACTTATGTGAAGATACAATTTTTGGGTAATTACTTGAATAGTACTAATTAAATTTTAACTACAAAAGTTGTTAACATTATGCTTTTAGATTAGAGCATGTTCAACAAATAGATTTAGTTCCAACCTTATCAGTATTATTAGGAATTCCAATACCAATGGGCAGTATTGGGGTACTTATTGACTCTGTGATAACAAGACTGAATTCTGAACAACAAATGTATGCTCTGTATTATAATGCAATGCATTTAGCAAAGCATTGTGATGAACGATTAGAGAGTTCTTATAGCAATGGTAACTTGGAATATATCAATGTTGATTTTACTAAATTATACAAAGCTGCAACATCTTTACATAAATAATTGCATGTTCAACAATAAATAGTTAGTACTTCCTGGTAATGATCAATAATTTTATGAGTAAAAAATATAAACAATTATGTTGAAAGTGTAATGCGTATACTACTAATGATTTTTCTAATGAAATTTTGTGCAAATTATTGATATAAATTATGTTTTCAATTTATATTAAATGGTATTTCATATTATTTCAGAATACTACAAGGATTATCTGAAGGCTGTGAAATTGTATGAACATTGGCTATTGAGTAATAAAACAGATGATTTATTGAAGAAGCAATCTTCAATATTATTTATATCATCTATGAAACAAATGAGTAAAGAACTTAGTTCATTGGGAACAAATTATAATGAATTTTATCTGATATTATCAATGATACTCGTGTTTGAGGTAATTAAATAATAAGCATAATTCAAATAAATAATTTATTCGTATACAATCATAATAAATTAATTTTAGGCACTTGGTATAATATTATCAACATTTTTAATTGGAGATCTCTCATTACAAGTTTTTAAAAATACTTATAAAAAACTATTTGGTGCAACAGTATTGACAACAATTTTAACAGTCACACAGATATTATGCACACGAAACGTAATGACTATTTGGATATTATTATTCAACACACTAATATCTGTGGTGTTGAGCATAAATTTTTATATTATCAAAAATGTTGCTAGCAAATTTACACTTTGTTTGGTAAGTTTTGTTCAAACACTCATTGTCAATTCTAAATTACCAATTAAAGTAATTGGTCATAATATATTTAAAATCTCTAGAAAGAAGGTATTTTTGTCTAACAACTATATGCATCATGTAAAATATCTTATCAAAAACCGAATCGAAACTTTTTGTCATTGTTAATCAAACATTGCCTTCTATTGTTTATAAATCACATATGCAATTCCAAAAAATACCTACTTGCTAGGGGGTACATTGCTAATTTAAAAAACTATTAACATCTGCTTATATACAATTTTTTTAGACAAATATTTTAACAAGAAATAAAATTTTGTAACAATTAATTCTTAAGAGATAATTCTTGCAATTTATTGTTCATGGTTTCAAATTGGTCATTTTTATGATATGCTTCTGTTTTACTGGCATTCTGTTTGAAATATGTGTTATTTAAAACGTCCTCTGCTGGAATATTATGACGACCTTTCAAACATGTCCAGTATTGTGATTGTATCTCAATGACCTTACGAATACTACTTATAGCTGTAGGATCTACAGCAGATAATGACAAAGGTGGCAAAGGTTCTCCCAGCAAGGCTTTTGTACACATTGCCATACAATAAGCCGTTGATAATGAATTATACCCCCCTTCTAGAGTTATTAACGTTTTGCTATTTGCAAGTAATGTCAGCATATGTGTCATATGCCCATAGGCTTCAGGTGACACCTTGCAACCTCCCAAGGGATCACCAGCAGCTGCATCAAAACCTGCTGATATTATTACCAACTCAGGGTTAAATTCGTATGCTATAGGCATGACAATTTGCTGAAAAGCCATTATATATTCAGCATCTTTCATGCCTTTTTTGTTCCATGGTATGTTGACATTGAAACCTTTGGCACCATCACCACCTACGTCAGTGTAATTACCAGCAGAACCTCTTGGGAAGAAATTACCATTATCATATCGATGTAATGATATGTACAGAACTTTTTTATTATCGTAAAAGGCATTTTGAGTTCCATTACCATGGTGCACATCCCAATCAACAATTAAAACTTTTTTTAAATTATAATTTTTTATAACATAGTTTGCACATATTGCCGCATTACTGAATATGCAGAATCCATGAGGCTCATTTGCTTCTGCGTGATGACCTGGTGGTCTTACGATGCAAATGCCACTTCGACAGTGCTTTAAAAGAATTTCATCTGCCACTGCTAATATTGAACCTGCTGCTATACTTGCGCTTTCGAATGTATGGTTGCTTAAATAAATTGACTGCAACTTTTTTTCTTCCATAATTAGTTTTTTCGAATTCATAGTTGCAGTGTTCCAAACGTTTTGAATATGTTGTGGAGAATGAACTAGCAGCAGTTCTCTAATGGTTACTGTTCGGGATACTATTTGCTTGCAAGTTTGTAATAGGCCAAATTCTGAAAGTTTTTTATAAACAGTCTCAATCCTATTGGGATTTTCTGGATGATCAGAGTTCATGTCTGTGTGTTTTAACATTTTATCATCATATACAAAACAGGTTCTGTAATTTGGTACAGTAAAATCAGTAATTTCGCGTAATTTTTGTAACTTTTGACGAACGTTTTCTAAATGTGATTTTGTTTGAACTATATAAGTATTCCGTGTAGGATATTCAGTAACAGTTTCCATGTTTTCCACAGATTTTACTGTAACCATGTGCCTTAGACTTTCACTATTGTCTGGTATATCCTCATCCACGTGATATACATCATAATAATCAAAACATTTCCAATATGTTTTATGAGCATATATACAATTTCTAATAGAGTCCATAACAGACAACTTAGGCTCTGAAATTGTAGTCAAAGACGGTGTGGGGTCTCCAAGTAAAGCCCGTAAGGTCATAGCTGCACTTTCACCTAATGACTGTAAACAATAGCCGCCTTCAAGAACTACTGCCACTTTCCCACTACTCAAAGACATTAAACTGCCTACTAAATGTGCATAACATGTCGGAGATACATTCATTTCCCCCTCTGGACATCCTATTGCTGCATCATAGCCTGATGAAACTAGCACTAACTCAGGATTATATTCAAATGCTACTGGCAAGAGCACTTGATTAAAGATTTGTAAATATTCTGAATCGCCCATTCCAATTTCATTTAAAGGCAAATTGAAATTATAACCCATGCCTTGGCCAGATCCTATATTGTCAAATTCTGATTCCCGTAAGTTGGGCCAAAATTCTCCATGTTCAAATCGATGTATGGAGAAATACAAAACTCTTGGGTCATCATAAAACATTCTTTGTGTAGCTTGTCCATGATGGACATCCCAATCAACAATAAGTATTCGTTTCAAATTATAATTATTCAATGCGTATTCAGCAGCAATAGCTACGTTATTGAAAAAGCAGTAACCACAATATTCAGATTCCATAGCGTGATGTCCAGGGGGGCGTATGAGCGCCATACCATTTTGTATTTTGTTTGAAAGTATATTATCCACAAGTTCTATAGCACAACCAGCAGCTAAGACAGATGACTCATAAGTTTTTGGATGAAAATACACAGCATCGAATTTAGAACTATTTTTTTCGAGTTCTTCAATGTCCCTCACTTGGCAAACGTTTTGCAGAAATCCAGTATGTTTTGAAGTGTGTTTCATTTCAATTAAATGCAGAGGAGCCGGTTGTGATAATAGCCTTAAACATCGATTAATCAAACCCATATCTTCACATTTCTCTAGAATTACCTTCAAACGTTCAGGCCGTTCTTGATGTTCTTCATCCCAGAGACATTTATGCTCAAAAAACAATTGGTCAAAAACAACTCCTGTGGATTTTCTTCGAATATTGCTATATTGAATAGCATTTTCGAATATGTCTTTTACAACATCGTTTTGTTTCTTTCTGCTTGCTGCAAGTTTTTTTGCCGCCATAAGTTTTGCTTGACGCGCCGGCGGTTTTGAATGTATTGTAGATTCACTAGCCATAGTTATAACTTAATTAAAAATTTAACAATATAAAAATAACATATTTACAATATATATTAAAATAGCTATTCAATTTTTTTTCGAGTCAAGTTACATAGAAACGTTAAATAAAACAAACAATTATAATTTAACATATAACACTGTCGTAAAAACTATTTATAATAAATAAGAAGTGAATATATATAATAATAAATAATAATAAATAAATAAATAAAATTTTAAACAACTTTAAAAATGTGAACACAAATCAGAGTCATGTCAACTCGACGTCAACAGAAAATATCACTCGCGGCCATTTTGACTTTTATTAGTTGTGTATTAGCAGAGCTATCGATTTAATTTCAAGAAGGGCCAAATTTATTTTCAAGATTTAAGAAGACCTAGTTTTTACCAACGAAAACTATTTTGATATAACTTCAATAAATTGATTTTGTTTTTATTTGATAAAAACATAATGAAATTACATGAATAATGAAAAAGAACAAAAAGTACAAAAGTTTAATTTGAAGAAACTAAATGAAAATGAATATAGAAATGATGTTTCAATCAATCAATATGGTTTCCTCCCTTCATCAAATACACAAGGTGCCCTAATAGATTTGACTAATACCATCAGTCAGCACCTTGAGGAAAATATGCATACAGTTGCTATTTTTATTGATTTACAAAAAGCTTTCGACGCAGTAGATCATGGCATATTACTCAATAAACTAATAGATTTGGTTGTAGAGGGTTTGTGTTACAGCATTATCAAAGATTTCCTCATGAAAAGAGTGGTAAGGACGAAGGTGGGAAATTTCACAAGTGGAGGATGTAGCATAACCTGTGGAGTTCCACAAGGTTCTGTATTAGGACCTTTATTATCTATTATACACCAATAACCTTAAAGACGCAAAATTAAAGGAAAGATACATATTATATGTAGACGATACAGCCATAGTATATGCGGATAAGGATAAAAAAGACTCGAAGATGCTATAAACATGGACATGAAAATATACACTGAGTGGCTAACTGAAAATAAACTAACAATTAACATCAATAAAACAAAATACATATATTTCAAACATAGAAAAAATACTGAGAACACTAAACTAAAAATTGATTTAAATAATAGAGAAATAGAGGAAGTGGAAAGCATAAAATACTTAGGACTGATAATAAATGAAAAACTGACATGGACAGACCATATAAACAAAATAAAAAGAAAGATAGGAACATTAACAGGGGCATTGAAATGGATCCACTCTTTCGGCAAAAAAAAAATAAAATACTAATTCTTAAAACGCAAATAATACCTAAAATTTTATATGGAATAACAACATGGAGCCAAACAACTAAAGCAAACCTAAATGACATACAGAGAACAATGAATAAAGCCATAAAAATAGCATATAATTTTCCACATCTAACACCCACCAAATACTTATAGAGAGAAACAAATAATCATTCACTAAATAACATAATTAAAATAGAGAAATGCAAACTAATACACAAAATGAAATTTAACCGAATTAAAACAAGTGCAACAATAGACATAAATCAAGATATACATGAGCACTACACTAGACAACACAACAATTTTGATATTGAACACAATAGAAAAAAGAATTTGAAAGAAAATGTCATATGGAGTGCTAGCAAAATATATAACGAATTGCCAAACGATATTAAGATGACCAATGATGACGATAATTTTAAATGAAAAATAAAGAAATACTATAAGGAAATTGAAGACAAAGAAGACTGAAGAGTTATATATAAAGATATTTTAATTATAATAGATATTATATTAATGAAATAGTCAAATGAAATGTATATATAAAATATGAAAACTGTTTTTCATAATCTCTCATAGCAGGCACCTCTGACTGAGATATGAAAATAATGTATATGTGTAAATAAATATAATAATTTAGCTAATACCTTCCTAATAATTGTGAATAATAATAATAGCTGTAATTTATTTTTGGGATACTTATAGGTTTCAATCTGATTTAGGAACCGATTCTGCTGCATAACAGAAAAATGTTATGGCAAGGCCATTACGCTCTAACTTCCATACATTATGCTACTCATACTGAATGCTGTCAAAATGTCATGTTTTTGCTGCGCATTCAGGTGTTTTACACATAAACTGCAAAGTCACTCGTATATATGAACCTGAGTCAGAAAGACTCTGTTTTCTAACATCGTTTTTTTTGACATTTGTGCAGTTTCTAGGTTATGTTTTCTATCAGACACCTGAGAAATTCGCCTGACTACACACCGACGCATGGCTTTTGTCAATATTAGTATAAAAAGTTCTTCATAACATGGCTTGCCATAAATTTTTCTGTTATGCTGCAGAATCGGTCCTCTCTTGAAGAAATGGAATGAATATAGAATGACGCTATTTAGCCAATTGCCTGAGGAAACTCTAGCATTGCGTTGATTTTATTAGTCATTACCAATTACTTTCCTAACAAATGAATATATAGCGCTAATATGCCAGTAAAATATTTTGTTTCACTTTTAGTTTTCACTCTGATGTTAATATTATTTAATTTATATTTAAGTATTATGAAAATATGTAAGTATTTGCCTCACTAAGTTTGAAGTATTTCTGATAATATTTAAATTCGAACCCACATTTGATCACAAGTGCTTTTACCAAACTACCAATTCTAAAAGCGGCAGACACGTGGGCGCCTCGTGGGCGCACTTGTTTGTTTCAAGATAAAAACGATCATTCATTCATAAACCCACTTGTACTACTTATATGGAAAACATATTCTTGTTATTTATTCATTCAGAATGTATACCATATGGCAATCATCATAATAAATATCTTATATAAGGAGTATAGGTCTACTTAAAAATTACAGTAGCAAACTTTTTGTTAAATATTTTGAGAATCGTCAATTGGAAAACTTATATTTCTTAGTTAGCAATTTGTTAGAATAATTTCCTGAAGTCATTGCTGAAATCGGATTTTTTTTTAGTATAGCCTTATTTACATACTATATATGGCCATTGACGCATATTTTCATTGATATTTGGCTAAGTATGATGATTTAGGAAAGTCGAAAAATTTTCATATCGATTTTTTTTCGATTTACAGAATGAGTAAATTACCATCAGGATGGGTCCGATAGTGGCAATGCGCTTCTGACCTTTATATCGACTTTTATCATTGCTTTATCTTTAATTATCTGTGTTTTGTTTGCAGAATAACACAAATAATGAAATCATTTTCATGATTTTTGGAATTATTCTACACGCCCTGAGCTTATCGGCAACGAGTTTTATAGAAGAAGAGCACACGATTTACTATCATTTAAGTAGCAGTTATCTTATCATCTTGTTAATAGGTCACATTTGCCGTTTGTTTGCAAAATATAAACATAAAGAGACAAGAATATATTTTGCCGATTATGAACGAATAATAAAAGTATTTTGTTCACTGACTGCGTTGAGAATTTTAAGAGATCTTAATAGCACTGGTGACAAACATCAGAATGCATACGATTACTCTGACTGGCTCAATGAAAGTGATCATGTTTTGGAACACTCTGTATTATATTATTGGTAAATATTGATCGATAATAATTGGCATTTTTATATAAAGTCAACCCTACTATAGCGCGATTCGTTCCTATTTTCGTTCAATCCCATAAGTTTCTTCTGCAACCTATGAATGACTGTTAACTAGATACATATTGTAAAAGTAGGTTTTAATATAATTAACTTCCCGGAGGAAAAGTTTATGTTTTCATCAAAAAATCCGATTCGCTAATTTTATGTTTTCTCGACGTTCTCGAATGAGGCAAAATTTGGAAAAAGTATGTGTGTGTGTGCCGTAAAAATCGACGTTTTCTCAAAAATGACTGAACCGAATTTAAAAATTTAAAATCCATTCGATGTATTTCGATGAGGACTGGCGTTTATCAATTTTGCGCGACGATCAGCCAAGCCGTTTCTTTGTAAATAGCAGAAAAGTGAAAAATTTTTCGTCGACGTTTTAGCCCGAAATTCTGAATCCGGGCTGTTTTCTTGTAATAGTGTTAAATTTTTTTTTCTACGATTTCTATGATTTTTTTTACGGTAGATACCATAGTCTTATAGATCATACTAAAATATTACGGCCCTACACAGTCGTTTAATTTTAAAAATTCTTCTAAGTTTGCAAAAATTAGTATCGTTTTTTTGGCATTTGTCAAAATTAGGCCTTTCATCGACGTTTGCTCAAAAACGCCTGAAATGATATCAGAAATTTAAAAACCATATGGATGTATTCCAATGAGAACTATCGTTTGTCAGTTTTGTGCGACGATTTGCCAAGCCGTTTCTTTGTAATTTGAAAAAAAAAGTGTTAAACTTTTCGTCCACATTAAGTTCACACTACCGAATCGATTTAAAAAAATCAAAAACTGTTCGAAAGATATAAAGAAGTTGTTCTCTTATAGCGCGATACGCACTCCTGCGTTATAGTAGGGTTGATTGTATTGTTAAATACTATTTTCCTAAAATTCGGTTTATTTTTTTTTTGTAATCGTTTCATATTGTTTGTGATGGATTCCAAAACAGCTTTGAATTTTTTTAATATAACATTGATGAATACATTTTGTTGTTTGGTGCATTACTACATTTTAAAGGATGCTAGTAATTTAAACAAAATTTTATTAAATTATGAATAATGAAAAATTGTTATATAAACGATCTTAATTTACAAGTTTAATATTAATTAAAACGATCCTAATTTACAGGTTTATGCAGCATCATCATCACAATAGCAAATCATATCAACTGCAACAAGATTCTTAAATACGCTATTCTTTTCCATATATTTTATCACATTTACTATTTTAAAAGCTTAACATATAATATTATTAAACCGCCGTTAACGCTGATTCCTTCTGATTACATAATATTGAATATTCTAGTCGTGATATCAATTATTGTTTTGGTATCATTCAATAAAACGCAAAAAAGTAAATTAATTTTAGCTTCATTTTTATTATACTTATCATTTCTTCAAAAGCCACATAATGCGTTTTTGCTTTCTTCGATTATATTTATTTTGAATAGTATTTTTAATTTCGACGGTGCCGAAACAAAAATATCTTTTAATCCGAGGTTTATTGGAGCTATCTGGATCGGATTTACTTTCTATTTTATGCAGGTGAGTAAGTATGTTAAGTTTGATAACAATTTACTTTATAGAAATGTATATTTTTAGGTATAATTTAATTAATTTTCTATTATCAACTTTCGATAGGGTAAGTTATAGTAATCGCAAAAAAATCGAAACTGAAATTTTTTTTATATCTTTACTTTTCAAAGCCTTAGAAAAAATTGATGTGTGTGTGTATGGTACCAATATTTAAAAAAATATGTATGTGTTTAAACCAAAATTTGACCTTTCATCAAGGATTTTTCTAAAACGGCTACACTGATTTCAAAAGTTTAAAAGCAAATTGATGAAACTCAATTTGGACGCGATAAACATTTCTATTTTTCGAAATTTAAATATATATTTCAGTATTTTGGGTATATAGAACAATTTCTACATTAATTATTCTTTCTATAAAACCATTCACAGTTTAATTGATTTTTTATTTAAAAAGCATTCATCTGGTTGCACAAACAGGTCAGATGATATGAATTTTTAACTATTCTACACAACTAAATTATTGAAGTTTGGCAATTTTAAATAAATTATTTTAATAAAAATACTTTCTTACATTCAATGTAAGATATACTCACTATTTATCTTTTCAGGGCAATTCCAACAATCTGGCGACTGTGGATGTCTCTTCCGGATATTCTGGCTTGTCGTTTTACAATCCTTTTATAGTTGCTCTTCAAATCGCGTTTTTAACATATTCAGGACCACTTCTTGCCATAGTTAATACATTGGTTCATATCAATATTCAAGACTTAGATAAGTTTATAGCAAATATATTTTTATGCAAGTTAGTACCACTGAGTTGGTATTTAGTAATGGTGTATTTTCAAAGAAACCACTTATTTGCATGGACAGTTTTTGCCCCTAAGTTGATATACGAATCAGCGCATATCATAATAACTTTAATAACTGTATTTGTATTGTGTGCTATTTGTTTCACAAGCGATAAATATAAATTAATTTAAAAAAATTAATTGTTTAAATCATATAAAAAATACATTACATACAAGATTGGTAAATTACTGAAAAAATATTTTAATTTATAAAATTTAAATTTTTATTACGAAACAATTATTTAATAACATTTCTTAAACAATTCAGTTTATATAAATTTAATCAAATTCATCTAGTAATTCATCTGCATTTTTATGATCATTTTTGTAAGAACTAGAAGTTGAAGTAGAAGGTGTGGCTTTCAAACTTTTTAAACGCCTTGGTCTTTTTGCATTTGAACTTGAAGGAACATCTGTACTAAATTTTGGTATGGTGCTTGAAATTTCATCTAAACAATGTTGAGAATTCAATTCCATGAAATCGTCATGATCGCTATCACTTATGACCAAAGGGCTACTCGAGTTATTTTCATCAATTTCTTCAATCCTTTCTTTACTTTGTGTTGAATTAATGATATTTTGTAATTCCCTTATTTTCTCCTTCTTTTGATTTAACAATAACAAAAATTTTCCATATAATTCTTCTTCCATATCAATTTTTAATTGCCTATATTTATTCACTTTAAGTATAAGTTCTGCATTTGTTTCATTAAGACTTTTATGCTGAGAGTTGACATGCTCTAGTTGCATTTTCAACATTGTGTTTTGTTCAATTAAATCATCAATTACATTTATGTTAGAAAGATTCTTATTTACTTCAAGTTTTATTTTAAAAACTGCAGATTTCATAGAAGTATTTTTAATTTCTTTGCGACATATAAAATATTTGTCTTCAATGCTATAAGTGCAATAAGGCACACCATCATGGGTTGTTAAAACATATTTAACATTACTTTTATAATCTTCTAACGATGATCCCAGTCCTTCTGCAAATTGTTTCATATTGGCAGTAGTGAAAATACCGGACCAGTTTTTATTGTTTTCTATAACGTCTATTTTGTATTCATCGTCTTCACTAATTTCGGTTCTAACAATGAATTTTGGAGGAAGTTTATTAATGTGAATTTCATTTTGTGACTCGGTCATTTGTATGTATTAAACGCTAAAATTCAATTAATTGTAATAATACTATAGAATGCAACGTAACTTCTTCCTCAAATATGTTATTTATCTTTCGGTGACATCACTTATCATTACCGTTATATTATCAACATTATACTGTTTTCTTATTATTGTGTACGCTATTTTTTTTTCCGGCCATATATCTTTTTGACATTTATGTGGAGAAATTGTTATTTATATTGCTAATTTCGGGAAGATTTCAAGATGGTAGCACTATAGTAACTGATTCACTTCATAAAACGTTGCTTTGAGCCTCCATTTTGTAATCAAATTAAAATAGAATATTAACTTAAATTTACATTAAAACTAATATATTTTAAGTACTAGTAATAATGTATTTTATAATTTGTTATTCTTTCGATAACCGGTGGGTACCCTGTGATGTAGGCAACACTGATTACTTAATATCATCCGGTGTGCAAGGTTCGAGTCTTAGAGAAACGTCATTGGCCATACCTTACCTTCTTACCTTAATGAGGTTAATGCACTTTAGTTTGTTTGACAGTTCATGAAAAAAATTGATGTTTACTGTTTATAAAATAAAAATACTACAGACAAATGCACATATTTTTCACGATCATAACGTTTCATAGAAGATTGAAATTTAATAAATATACAAATGCTATGAATCTTTTGAAACGTGTATTGGATCACAGTGTTAACATAAATCGTCATCATATTAGAAATTAATCAAAATGTATTCAGATTGGGCATCATTATATCCTGTGTTAACAGAGAATATTGAGGGCCAACAGGGAGGAAGTGTCCTGGAGAAATTATCTGGTGGTGCAGGGAGAGATGTAGCTTTTGCTGTAGTCAAACAAATAGCTGGAAATCTAGGAATTGCACAAGCCGCTGAGCCCAGTCCCTTAATAAGTGATCAAGAAGTTAGTTTTACATATTTATAAAATATCATCATATGCATAATTTATATTATTTGTTATTTTTATTTATTATGTATATTCTTTCACTACAGGTTCAATGGTGCATGGAAGTGATTTGCTTTGGCCTATCACTACCGTTATCAGAACATGACACAATAAGAGACTGTGTAAACATTTACTGCGAATGGCTAACCGCATTGCATCCAACTCCAAAAGTTAGTGTACCCAAGCCAATTTGCAAGGACTCAAATATATATGCAAGAAAAATGATCAAACATTTACATAATTTGTTTGTTCCTAGACAAGGAGAAGGTAATCTTAGATTAATAATTTAAGCTCTTCTTGAGACTTCTCATTCTAATCAATTATTTATATTTTACAAGACTGGGCTTTTCTATATTTGGACTTGGGTAAGGTTATCTTTGATATTTTCATGTGTTCTTTTCATTGCAATGGTCTTTTGTTCTTTATATGTTTTACGCCATGCTATTCTGTGAAATACATTCACGGAATATGCAAAATGAGTTATTATTCATTATGTCATACAATATCATTTATTTTAATATAGTGTGTTTTTTATTTAATATTTAATATTTTCCCAGCTGTTAATCAATTTTATGTGTTCATACTTTAACAAGTCGCAAACATTTAGTCTGTTATAGAAGAGGAAGTAAAAAAGTTTTATGCTCAAAAATATACATTTAGTTCCTGAAAAAATTTAAAAGAAAATAGAATGAAGTTGTATATAACTCAAGCCATCTGATGTTCAATAACAATTGTTAATTAACTTTAATGTGTTTTGCTGTAGATATAAATATTACAAACATACATAAATTTGCAGGAAGTGATGTTATAAACAGGCAAGCTGTACTTTGTCATCGTGTGTTAAGAACTTTGCAGAACACTGCACAAGTTTCAATCGATTTGACAAGAGAAACTTGGGAAGCTTTATTGCTGTTTTTGTTGGCAATAAATGAGGTATTTTCTGCTTTTTTTAAAATTATTTAATGAAAAATTGCTTTATTTATTTTTTTAAATGTGCAAAACTTTTATTTCAAATTTGAAATGTTGTATTATTTTCCTATTTTTTGTAAATAATGCAGATTCTATTAGCACCTCCAACAATTAAAGATGATGTTGGAGATCAACTATGCGAGCGTGTGCTGAGTGTACTATTTGAAGTTTGGCTTCTGGCTTGCGTAAGGTATTGAAAATATA